TACGTGGGGTTTCCTTTTAAGACTGTCCAGAAGCTTCCAATGGTCCAGTGTGCGGCAGCCAGGTTGCTAACAGGAGCAGTGCTCAGGGAGCACACAACTCCGCTGTTGCGTCAGCTTCACTGGCTGCCAGTTTGCTACTGGGCACAATTCAAAGTGCTGGCTTTAGCCTATAAAGCCCTACACGGTTCCGGCCCCACTTACCTCTCCGAACGCATCTCCACCTATGAACCGGCGAGGACATTAAGATCGTCCGGGGAGGCCCTGCTCTCGGTCCCGCCAGCATCACAAGTGCGGCTGGCGGGGACGAGAGACAGGGCCTTCTCGGTGGTGGCCCCTCGGCTATGGAATGCCCTACCAGTGGACATCAGGCAGGCCCCTTCGTTGGCGTTTAGGAGGCGGGTTAAGACGTGGCTCTTCGAACAGGCGTTCGGATAAGCATGCAATAACATCTGACTCTGAAAGACGGCATACTGAACAAGGAATGGTAAAACGACTGTGAGACTGGATCTGATTCTATTCGAGGCGTGATGACGTTATGTGTATTGTTTGTGGATGTTTGTCACATGTATTGTTCAATGTTGCACATTTTACTGTAAACCGCTTAGAGTCGCCTTTTTTGGCTGATATAGGCGGTATACAAAAGGAGTAAATAAATAATAAATAAATAATATTAGGCATGCTTCCAACACTTTTAAATGTCATGGAAAAACACAACTTGCTCTTTTTTTTGTCGTGTCAGGAGTGACTCCTGGTGTGAGAGAATTGGCCGTCTGCAAGGACATTGCCCAGGGGACGCCTGGATGATTTGATGTTTTATCATCCTTGTGGGAGGCTTCTCTCATGTCCCCGCATGAGGAGCTGGAGCTGATAGAGGGAGCTCATCTGCCTCTCCCCAGATTCGAACCCGCAACCTGTCGGTCTTCAGTCCTGCCGGCACAGGGGTTTAACCCACTGCACCACCGGGGGCTCTGATTTAAATTAAATACATATTTTACTTCTTTTGTCTTCTTGAATCTCAGGTGTTACAAAGCCTCTACAAAGATGCTAATAACATGTTACAACATGGATATTTTGCAATACCAAAGTGACTCTGATTTTTTTAAAATCTTAAAATTGAAGGAGAGTTGTTGAACTTTATAGAATGCACTTTCATTGTGCAATGATACAGATTGCCTATTCCATTCATATCAAACTCTGCAGCATTTTTGACCCATGGGGGGAAGGGGAGGTCATGAGAATGGTTGTCAGAGAGGTCACCAAAGACCATTAGAAAACACAGTATCTTCTGTTGGTCATAGTGGTCTGTGTGGGAAGTTTGGCCCAATTCTATCGTTGGTGGGGTTCAGAATGCTCTTTGATTGTGGGCGAACTATAAACGGAAGCAACTATAACTTCCAAATGTCAAGGTCTATTTTTCCCAAACTCCACCAGTGTTCACATTTGAGCATCTTGAGAATTTGCGCCAAGTTTGGTCCAGATCCATAATTGATTGGGTCCACAATGCTCTCTGAATGTAGGTGACTTATAACTCCAGAACTCAAGGTCAATGCCCACCAAACCCTTCCAGTATTTTCTGTTGGTCATGGGAGTTCTGTGTACCAAGTTTGGTTCAATTCCATCATTGGTAGAGTTCAGAATGCTCTTTGGTTGTAGGTTAACTATAAATTCCAGCAACTACAAATCCAAATGACAAAATCAATCCTCCCCAACCCCAACAGTATTCAAATTTGGGTGTATCAGGTATTTGTGCCAAATTTGGTCCACTGAATGAAAATGCATCCTGCATATCAGATATTTACATTAATAACAGTAGCAAAGTGGGCAGTTATGAAAAAGCAACAGAAATAATTTTATGGTTGGGGGTCACCACAACATGAGGAACTGTATTAAGGGGTCATGACATTAGGAAGATTGAGAAACACTGGTCTAATCTCAGTTGAACATCTCAGATTCTATGTCATGCCAAATCTCATGTTGATTTCTTTATATAAAAGGCAAAAGGACTAGTCAGAACTTTGGAACAAACATATTCCAAGTGTTCCTTTCAAACAGTAAATCAATTATTCAGCTTGGCTTTTTTTTCAGGATAAGAGCATCTTAAAGAGCTATTCATCTGAAAACCATCAGGCATTCATTGAACATGTGAAAAATGGTATTCAAGCTGAGCTCCTGTTTTCATAGAGGGATTCTATTGTAATGTTAGATGTAGATGAACAGGCAGTATAGATCACAAAAAATTATGTGGTTGTTACTGGGAATGGTGAAAAATAATAAATACATATCTTCAGCAAAGTAAGGAATATTGCAAGGCAGAAAATGAACAACAACCAGTGCTATCCCCACCCCCAAGAGTACAGCAGAGGAAGAAAAGAAACATTACATTGCATAATTTTCATTGTAAAGTATATACAGGCACTCCCCAAGTTATGAACAAGGTAGGTTCATACATATATTCTTAAATTGAATTTGTATGTAAGTCAGAAAAGGTAGATTTTTAAGTAGTACATGGAAAGGTTAGCAGCCCTGTGGGGGTTGTTTTGCTGACTGTGCCCTTGTTCAGAAGATTTCATCTCATTTTTTGTTCCTATGATAATTGGATTTTGGACAGTTTGGCTTGTTGTGGAAACAAAGATTGATTAGAAAGTTTCAGTGGAGATACTTTTTCCCCATGATAATTCTTCCAGGAATTTCCCTTCCAAGGGGCTTCTCTCACTTCCTGTTGCCTCATCCCCATTCTTATTTAAGAGTTGTTTGTAAGTCGGATGTTTATACTCACGGACTGTCTGTATACTATACAACAAGTACATATTTATACTTACAATGCTTGCCCATGATCAAATACAGCTCATGGCAGAAAGATGAGGAAGAAGAAAATAGCTTTAAATTAGAGTGATGCAGGTAGAGGGAGGATGTGGAAAAGCAAACAAATGGAAATGGGCAAACAAATTAGGAATTACTACAGGCAACAAAGGTTTTTTAACTAAGATCATGATCGTTCTTGGGACATGCCTGGCAGGTATAGTTTAACTTCATCCCCACAAGTTTACTGAACTCAAACTGTCTAAAAAGCTGTAAAGTGCACTGATATTTGACAGCCTGAAATTAAAGCCTAGTATACTAAAAGATTGGGAGGAGAGCAATGACCAATTTCGTTAAAATAGTGAAGAGTAGAGACATTACACTGCCAATGAAGATCCGCATAGTTAAAGGAATGATATTCCCCGTAGTCACCTATGGATGTGATAGCTGGACCATAGGGAAGGCTGAGAGAAGGAAGATAGATGCTTTTGAATTGTGGTGTTGGAGGAAAGTTCTGAGAGTGCCTTGGACCGCAAGAAGATCCAACCAGTCCATACTTCAGGAAATAAAGCCTGACTGCTCATTGGAGGGAAGGATATTAGAGGCAAAGATGAAATATTTTGGCCACATAATGAGAAGACAGGAAAGCTTAGAGAAGACAATTATGCTGGGGAAAATGGAAGGAAAAAGGAAGAGGTGCCGATCAAGGGCTAGATGGATGGATGGCATCCTTGAAGTGATTGGCTTGAACTTGAAGGAGCTGGGGATGGTGACGGTTGACAAGGAGCTCTGGCATGGGCTGGTTAATGAGGTCACGAAGAGTCAGAAGCGACTGAATGAATGAACAACATACTTAAAGGTACATTTTCCTTTTGGTGACAGAGTACAGGTAAATAGCAAGAGTCAGCATCACATCAGATTAAGCAGTTAAAAGTCACTGACCTTCATAGGCCACCAACTGCAATGGCAAACAAGGCTGCATAGAGTAATGTGAGGCAAAGCCACCGTAATGTGGTCTGGTCTTGTGTTAGTAAAAGTCGAGTGGAACATTTGAATTCTACTACAGAATTTAGGACAATACCACATTAGAGTTCTAAAGTGTAGGTCTGTGTTTTCTTATCGCCCAGTTTGCTCCTGCAGAATTCTGGGAAATGTAGTTTAGGGAAGCTGAGGACCTGTCTGGTTATGATTTTTAAGGGCTCTGCCCTAAACTACATTTGTAAGAATTCTGCAAGAGCAAACTGGGCAATAGGGAAACACAGACCTGTGCTTTAGAACTCTAATGTGATATTTTCTTAGACTGTCCCCTAACTTGGAGCCTATGGAGACAATTTGGCGATTTCCCAAACAAAACTGCCTGCAACTGTCCAGTCTGCAGTCTTGTGTTTCCTGCACTTGAATGGCCTGGGACATGGAATGGCATTCCCGTCCCTCACCCTGTTGTGGCAGTTTCTGTCAGTGAAAATGTTCCTACTTGTTACTTGGGGCAGGTAGCCAGGACAATGGAGAGTGATGGAAAGGGAAGGAGAGAAGAGGGCGGTTTCATCAGATCACACAATAGAAAGGTAGGGCCCATGCCATGGAAGGAGATGACCATGATCTGGAAGAACATCAATCAACACTCTGCATGAATTAAAGAGAGAGCAGATCTTTCCTCAAATCAGGGTACAAGTGGAGTCTCCCTTATTCAAAATGCTTGGAGCCTACCTGTTTTTGCATATATGTATACAATGACAGACCTTGGCGATGGAACCCAAGTCTAAGCACCAATTTTACTTATGTTTCCTGTGCACCATACACACATAACCTGAAGGTAAGTATACAATATTAGGGGGGGGGGACAATTTGGGGCATGAAGGTTTGAGTACACTGAACCATCATAAAGCAAAAGTATCAATATCTCCCCATCCATATGGGAAAAGCCTGGAGGATTTCAGATTTCCAGACAAGAGATGCTCAGCATGTATTGCTTTGCAAATATATCTATGTTAGGGATCAGAGAGCACATGCCATATATCCAGACTGATCTGCTATCTCTGCTTTGGTAAGAGTAGGTTGCACCTCCCACCCAAGGAGCAGAAATACTTTGAAGCTGTCAGTTTCTCTCTCTTCTACAGCTTTCCAAGTTCCTTCTGGTTATGTTTCTCTTCCTGTGCCAGGTCACCATAGAAACAGCACTATGTAACAGCATTGCCATGGGAATTTGACTGGCACAGGAAGGGAAATGCACGCAGAAGGAACTCGGAAGACTGCAATAATGAACGGTATGGCAGTTTGTGGATTGTGCTTTGAAAAATATTACAGGAGGAAACAGCCTTGTGACAATTTCTCCATAGATGTTATGCACATAACACAAGACCTCCAGTCATAGAAAGACAATGCACATTATAGCAAAGCAACTATGGGCTATGCACACAGAAGTGACCTACATATAGAAATAGATGCAGGAGGTGGATCCATTTCTACAATATTTTGGGTAATTGGACTGACTAGTAAGTGAAAAATGTTGACCAAAAATCATCTTAAAGTGTGTGTTCATTCCTGTTTATGTCAGGAACTTTGTCAGATTTTGTCTAAAGTGAAACTCAAATTTGCAGGAAAATTCAAAGTTTTGGTAGAACTTTTTTTCTTTTCTTTTTCTTGTTGTTTTATTGGTTTTTTCCCACTCCCCTCCTCCCCTCCTTTTACATGCAACTTATACATCAAACTACAGAAGTTACATTTGGAATATCAATCTCAGTCTTAATTTTTCTACTCCACATCTTAGCACATTCTCTAAATAATTCCTAACGGGTCCCACATCCTCTTAGTTATTGTAACCTTTTCAATTTTATCTATATTATTCAATTTGCAATTTGTTATTTCCACATTTAACATATTAACTATATGGTTATACCAATTAGTCAATGTCTATTTTGTTGTATCTTTCCAACCCCTCACTAAAACGATTTGTGCACATGCTATTAATTTTTCTTTTTGTATAAATGAAGAATATGCATGAAGAAAGTTATGTGAGGCGTTCTACCAGGTCTTTAAGAGTTTTCTTGCTTAACTTTAGCTACTGGGTACTGAAGATGATAAAATGATGATGATAGGGTGATTGTTGATGAAATGGTAGAGTTATGTGTATTAGGAAAAAAAAATATCCTCAAGGCATGTATTATTAGGAGCACCAAGTCATCAAAGGGTTAAGATGAAGCCAGGGTGAAAGTTCAGACATTCCAGGCTAAGTCACCTTTTGGTCAAGGGTTATGTCATATCCAGAGTTGTGGAATGGAGATAAGGGATTCTGTACGTAAGCCAGCGACATAGGGGAAGACTTTCTCTTTCATCCTCAATCTCCTGCTGTAACCTGAGAAACTTGTAAATAAAGTCTTTGAACTGCCCGGCTGGGCATAAACTGTAGCACAAGTGTACTTAAATCAAAGGGTAGCAGAGAGGGAAAGAGCAAGAAGAGCAGTGCAGTGTGCATACCACAAATTCAGAGAATCTCTGTCTGCAAGAGGAAGGAAGGGAAATCCAGTCCTCCCCCTTAACAGTGATGATGTGGAAGAAAGATTAGACAAAGCATTCATAGAATCATAGAATCATAGTTGGAAGAGACCTCGTGGGCCATCCAGTCCAACCCTGTGCCAAGAAGCAGGACAATCAAAGCACCCCAACAGATGGCCATCCAGCCTCTGTTTAAACACCTCCATAGAAGAAGCCTCCACCACACTTCAGGGTAGAGAGTTCCATTGCTGGAAGTTTTTCTATACATCGATTTAAGAAAAGGTTTGTTGTGTGTTCGGTTTTGTGATTTGAACAAATATGTGTCACAAGGAGTATAATGCAATTTGCTATACTAGTTGTTTTGTATAGTGTGTGTTTATAAGTCCCATCTTGAAGAACTAAAGATGTGGGATGATGAAAATTGCCATCTGAGAACATTTTGAAGGCCACATATTGTTCACCCCAAATATAAAGGAAAGCTTCCCCCCACAACACACACACATTTGGTACAATAGAAAGCAAAATGAAACCAAGAACAAATTCAGCTTTTGTGCTCATAATCCATTGTGCTTCAGATATATTTCATAGTTGTAGTTTTCTTTTCCTTGAGGTCATATAGAAATTAAATTGCATTTCTAGCTGAGAAAGCGAGAGAAAGAGAAAGAAAAGTGGGAAAAGAAGTGAGCTGAAGTGTTGCCACAGCTGGATTTTAATAATAAGGTCAGCATACAGATAAATTCAATAAAATTAACCTTTATGACACCCTCATCACCTCACCATCTTGATTTTAGAAAGAGGTAAATGTAAGCTCCCAGCAGCCGCCCCAAGAATGACACAGGATGCCGATCCGTAATCAATCAGGAAACTTTTACTACTGGATATGCATACACAACGAAAGCCAGGATTGGCACACAGTCTCAAGTTAACCCTTATATACCCTCCCCCATATTCGAATCCCCTTTTCCCGCCGACCGTAGTTCCCGCTCAATGTTCCCCGCCAACCACCAACTGCTCCTCCCAAGGCCACCAGCTGCATACTCTTATCGGCTCTCCATGTCAGGATTCTGGTTTTTTGCGCCAATGTCCAAGGCCAGGAAACCGAGCCCTGACATGACGTCCCCCTCCTCCTCCTCTTCTTCCTGGAAGGGAATTATACAATAACATCATGTTCCCTCTTTATCCAGGGGGCCTTGGTATTTCTTTAATAGGCTACAATGAAATGTTGGGTGTACCTTCCCCAAAACCCTTGGCAGTTTCAACGTATATGTCACATCATTTATCTTATTGGAAATCCTGAACGGACCGATGTATTTAGGAGATAATTTTCGGGAGGGGGTATTCAACTTGAGGTTTTTGGTGCTCAGCCACACCAGTTCCCCTTCTTCCAACTTATCACCCTCCCTCCTTTTCCTATCTGCAAATAACTTATACCTTCGTTGGGCTTCTCGGAGCGAATTCGTCACTTCTTCCCAATTCGCTTTCACTTTATCTGGCCACCCTTCCTTTCCCCATGGCTCCTCCCCCCAGCTCGGCAACTTAGGCAAAGGGGTTACTTCCATGCCGTATACTATCTCAAAAGGGGATTTTCCCATGGATGCGTGACAGGCTCCATTGTATGCGATTTCTGCAAACGGAAGTAAGTCAGCCCAATCGGTTTGGCAATGGTTTGTGTATGTCCTTAGGAACAACCCCAAAGTCTGTTGTGTGCGCTCGACTCCCCCATTGGTCATGGGATGGAATGCTGAACTCAAGGTTCTTTCTACTCCCATCAATTGCATGAAACCTTCCCAGAATCGGGCCGTAAATTGCACCCCTCGATCACTGATCACCTGTTCAGGGCAGCCATGCAGCCGATATATATGTTTGATAAACAACTCAGCCAACTTTTCTGCAGATGGCAACTTAGGCAGCGCTATGAAATGTGCCTGCTTTGAGAATAAATCCATTACTGTCCATATGTATCGTTGGCCTCGGCTAATTGGAAGTTCGCCCACAAAGTCCATAGCAATTACCCTCCAAGGTTGTGATGGCTCTGCCACCTTTTGCAATAACCCCGTTGGCTTCTGTGTGGTTGCCTTACTTTGTGCACACGCATTACATCGGGATACATACAATTTGGTGTCACCCCTCATCCCGGGCCACCAACATTGACGTGCCAACATTTTTAGGGTTTTTGTCATCCCCCAGTGCCCTGCTCCCTTGCTGCCATGACACCTAATCAACATTTTTTCCCTTAGGGTGCCTGGGATGTATAATTTCCTGTTTACAAACCCCAATCCGTCCTTCCATTCCACCTTTTCCTTGTTTCTCTCCAACCACTCATCCTCCTTGCATGCTTGCCTTAACTCCTCTTCCCATCCCCCGTCTTTGCTCTCAACTCCTACCAGCCTTTGGTTGCGCTCCGTCTGTGCTCGAGTTTGCACTGCCATGCCCCACTGTTGTTCCGAAAATATGCTCCCCTTTGGGCCTTGCCCCCTCCCTTCCTTCTCCGGCAATCTTGACAATGCATCTGCGACCACATTTTGCTTCCCTTTTTGAAACCTTAGCTTAAAATCAAATCTGCTGAAGAACTGCCCCCATCTTATCTGTTTTGCCGATAATCTCCTGGGTGAAGTGATATATTGTAGATTTTTATGGTCGGTCCATACCTCAAAGGGTATGCCGCTTCCCTCCAACAAGTGTCTCCATGTCTCCAGGGCCCTCAAGATCGACAAGGCTTCCTTTTCCCACACTGGCCAGTTCCGTTCAGTTTCGCTGAATTTCTTTGAGATGAACCCGCAGGGTTTCAACCTCCCCTCCCTATCTCTCTGCATCAAGGCTGCCCCATATGCCCAATCTGACGCGTCACAGTGGATCACGAACGGCTTACTCAGATCAGGGTGGCTTAGGACCGGTTCCTCTGTGAACCTGCGTTTCAGTTCCTCAAACGCCTTCTGGCACTCTGGTGACCAATTTAATTTTGCTCCCGGGGATCGTACCTTCACCGTTTCCCCCTTTCCCTTTGTCTTCAGCAGTTCGGTTAAGGGTAGAGTCACTTGAGCAAAATCCTCTATGAACCCTCGATAGAAATTTGCAAATCCGAGGAAGGATTGCAATTGCTTGCGTGTTTGGGGATGGCTCCACTCCCTGACATCCTCTACCTTTGACAGATCCATTGCTATCCCTCCCTTGGAGATTCGGTACCCCAGGAAATCTATCTGCTCCTTATTGAACTCACACTTTGCCAGCTTTGCGAACAATTTTGCCTCCCTCAATTTCTGGAGCACCTCCCTCACCAACCTAACATGAGATCGTCTATCACGGCTAAACACGATTACATCATCCACAAAGCAATAAACCCCGCGATACAATAATGGGTGCAAAACCTCATTGATCATTTGCATAAATGCTGATCCAGAGCCTTTAAGTCCAAAAGGGCAGACAGAATATTCAAAATGGCCGAGCGCACAGGTAAACGCCGTTTTCCACCTGTCCTCGGGTCTTATTCGTAGCTTGTGATAAGCCTCAATCAAGTCAATTTTCGTGAACACCCTTGCTTCTGACAGTCTCGATAGCAAGTCCTTGGTCAGTGGCATTGGGTAGTTGTTGGTTGTGCTCACCGCGTTCAGTCCCCTGTAGTCCACACACAGCCTCAATGAGCCGTCCTTTTTGTGCCTAAATAGTACTGGGGCCCCCAACGGTGATTCGGATGGCCTTATGAACCCTCGGGCCAAGTTTTTGTCAATATATTTTCTCAGTTCCTCCATCTCCTTGACCGACATGGGGTATAATC